CGAGTGTTCCGAGGGCTGAGAGCAATTTGGGGTGAGACTCTCTTCCTATCGTTCTGCTGCTCGTGCCTTATGTTGGCACTGCGAGCCCTTGGTGTGCGTGTGTGTTACGTTGTCAAGAAGTGCTGTCAAAATGATGGAATGTTAGAGCCAAAAACGAGTTGCAAGATCAAGTAATGTGGCCTACGGTAAACTTGTGTATTCGAAACGTACTATTAATATCACACGTTCGATTCTAATTTTTACAATTTGAAACCAAAATTACAAAGATTAAGTTATGTCACGTTAATGTATGTCGATGTAAGCAAACTTTGTCTCGCTTACCACGTTGCTCGTGCAGTCATGTGATGTGCAAGGGTTGTGAGTATTGTTGGGGTCAGGGTCTGGGCATTGATCAGGGTGTCGTGAGTACCATACCTGTGCTCAACATTTGACGTTACCCATGCACAGATGTGTCTCACATCTGAAGACAGATCTCTTCTGTCTTCATTATATCTCTTTTAAATACATATCCTATCGATCGCCTAGCCTGAATACAGTACGTGCCTCTACTATCTACGGGGTGGGCAATACGTAACTATCTGATTTGAAATAGCGGTATTTTGTGTTCAATTATTTTGTAAAAAAAAAAATTGCAGGAATAAAGTAAAAGCATGTGAGTTTATGATGAACTGGTATACACCTCAGCAGCATGCAAGAATAGTTGTCAGAAACAATTGTTCAATTATTTCCACACGCAGATATTTTAAGACCCGAATGGCTCCAACTCGACACTATATTCGTGCATTGATTTCCCGATTTCGGGAATCTGGAACAATGGTGGATGCAACCGGTGTGTTGGCAAACCTCGAACCGATCAATCTCTGACTTCTATTGAGCAAGTAAGGGGAAGCGTCAATTAGAACCCCAAAACTTTGATGAGGAGATGCTCCGCTCAATTGGGAATTGCACGACGGTCACTGCGGAAAATCTTGGTACAGGACTTGCATCTTTTTCCATATAAAATTCAGCTGGTGCCAGAATTTCAGCCCAATGACCATCACAGAGGACTAGCGTGCTTTCATTGGTACGGAGAGTGTAGAAAATGCAGTTGGAAGAGTACGGATTTGCCTACGCAACGCAGGCGGTCATTTACAATATATTATTTTTCATGCATAATTATATCGAGTCACGATGAATTAGAGAATGTTCTATCATTTAGAGTTTGTTTTATTTCATTGTCCCAAAGTTATAGGCAAACACAAATCAAGTAGTTACATATGGCTCACCTTGTATATACAGGTATCTTGTTTTAATACCGTACATCTGTTTCATAGTTATAATTCTCCAGTATTTCTCCTGAATGCAGCATATATCTTCAATCTCCATTTTTTATGAATGCATTTCCTATGTATCTTACATCTCTCTCCTATCATCTCTCACTTCGATCTCATCCGAATAAATGTGGCGAGCATTCATCTTAGCTCAAAACAAATTAAATACACAGGCCGATCCATGTATATACAGGGTGCTTCAATTTTTTTTAACTGTAACAGTAAACATTTTTTAATAGGCTATAACATGATGACAAATGTATGTTAATAGCTTTCAAAAGTCAGAATCTCCACTTGTTCGCCATCATTGTCAACACATGCCTGGAATCTTTTCCAGGTGGTCTCCAGAGCCCGGAGGCACATTTATTGTGGTATTGTTGCAAATTCTCAGAAGTGTAAAACATTTTTTAAGCACCCTGTATATATACCACTAAAAGAAAACTGGAGAAATTACAGAGAAAGCTACTTTTTTTTCAAAGCCTCTAAATGTTTCCAGCCCAATTTCGAAGAAATCATGAAATATTCTAACACTTTCCTCTGTACGACGTCGAGCCATCGCTTTTGCATTCAATCAGCTGCCGAGAAGAAAGTATGGGGGGCATTAGAAAGCAGTGGGGTATCTCTACATGGATCGCTCTGTATTCCTGTATGGTCTATGCTTGGCGTGTTGACACCACCGCCCAATTATCTGGAAGGTAGTGGCTATGGACGTCTGTAACCCAGCACTGTGGAGGCAGCTAGGGTTCAGGGATCACACGGATGTTACAATACTTCCTTATCCGAGGGCGTCAATGAGTTGCAATACTCTGGCTCGCCAGAAGATGGCAGTATAGCACATGTGTGGACTCCCAGCTGTTCCATTTGTGTGAGATAGTGTTGCCCCCCCCCCCCCTCTCCTCCTTCGCATGCATGGTTTTTTCCAGGTGTGTCCGTTTTGATTCCCACAAATGGAATAGGGTCACAGAGTGTGGGGGATTGTTGGTAGCGCTGGGTCTGGTCGCTATATCCCCTTGCTCTTTTTGTGGTTTTACATGACAAGGAAGCTACAAATACTGTGCAGCACAGAGTCACGAGTTTGCAACTTTTACTTTTTTACTTTACTAAGGGTGGAGCAGTGACACAGTGGTCAGCGCACCATGACCTGAAACCTACCTCCCGAGTTCAATTCCCGGCCAGTGGCAAGTGATTTCAGAACCAATATCCGGCCGCCTCTAGGTCAACTGGAATTTAAATGGATTACCTGGTCTATATGTCTTAACATCACCAATAGAGACAAATGCGGCTGGGACGTGGTGTTGACTGCAGCATCTTGCAGTGTGCGTTGCCGACCCAAAAGGTGCTTGATAAATGCACTTTCCCTAACCGTCTTAAAGGATTGTTTGTCTTTGTATACTTATGTACATGCACATATATTCGCATACTATATATGGACAAATCAATTTCAATCTATTCATAAATAATCTCTGCAAGCCTCGATCTAGCTGGTAGATCTATATTTTGATTTAAAAAACAGCCTACATTCACAGCATGTACATGAATTTAAAATCACACATTTAATATCACACAATTCACCCATCTGCTGCCTACATGCGTTGTTAAATGTGTACAGAGCCCTGTGAGCCCTAATGCTACCACAGCATAATCCACCCACTATCTGTGGTTAAGGCATGACTCTATCCTTACCTCTATAACTCTTAGCTCAAGACCTCTGCCTTCTTGACTCTGACTCTAACGCTATCCTCATACTAACCCTAATTCTAAGCTTCACTCTTGCCCTCACTGTGACCACATAGCGCTGTAGCTTTGACTCTAGCCCTATCTGGTTATAGCCCAAACTCTAGCCTGTTCGAACCTGACTATAATTTTAAATTTAGATCATAGCCCTAACCATAACCCGAGCCATAGTCCTAACTTAATGCTTAAGTTCAAGCTTAAATATAACTCTAATCCTCACTCTCACTCGAACCCTCACATTAGCCCTCACCTTAATTGTAACCCGAACCCTTGATTGAACTTGTCCGAATGTGGGGCGAGGTTAAGCCGAGCACCAGTTGGGGTTGGCACCCCATTCTGCTGCTCAGGTAAGTGTCTCTTGCAGACATTATATGCGGTTCATCGGCTTCACAAATCACCTCTACCTATAATCCTATAATCGGTACACAGAGCTATTGGAAGCGCCTCACGGCTTGTCAATGGAATCTTGAATTGATTCTTGTCAGTGAAATTGCCTACCACTGCATGAGCCAGACACAAGATACGACTGTCTCATTCAATTATTTCTCATGTGGACTGTCTCGTTTGCATTGACTTCCATCTAGTTTTGTTCGGGAATAGTTGCCACGTCTCGTTAGGGGCTGCCTATTCGATGTTTGCCTTATTTGACTGTCTCGTTCTGTCTTGTTTGAACCATCTCATTCGGTTTTGTGTTATCCGTTTAGTTGAGCACGCTGCAACTTGCTAATGTTTTTCCAGACATCCTGTACAGTAGTAAGTTGCAATCATCGAGCCTTACCAATACGATGCTACATGCCACCGTATTGGCCGAATGTGTTATAGAGCCCTGGTATGCAAATTGCAGGACCTAACTATATGGTGAGCAAATGGCATATTCTGGTCGAGTATAGTACTTAGGCTTTTTAGATGAGTAGAAAATTGAATCCTGGAGTCTGCAATCCTGGAATATGTTGAACTTATTTTGCACCGTACGTAGCCAATCGTGCCAATCGAGGTTCGGTTACGAAAACAATTGGATAGATCAGCTCTAATATAGGTTGTAAATTAACTGTTATAGTCCATAACCTGGATGAATAACCTTGAGAAACATTTCATGAATATAATTCATCGACGGTGTCGTCATTTACAAGTAGCCAGTAACAAACAGCACTATTAAATCTGAAATAGGTTTATTGAATTGACAAAAGGTTATTGTAAGAACTTTGGAAAGGAGACAGTGATGGGAGGAGGGTATTCCAAATTGGAGCAGTGCGGGGCAAGAGACAGGGAAATGTTGTGACCTGCAGTGCGATGAGTGGGTGGGTGAGTGAGTGGTTGGGTTAGTGGATGTGTGAGTGAGTTCTTGTGACCGCCAATGTGGTGGCTGGACATACTATGGATGACACGAAAAAGTCTGCGAGACAGAATCAATGAGGTAAGCTTACCATTAAGGTAACCATGGTAGTAGCCACAGAAGAGTGATGAGGAGGCGACTGACCGCTGGAAAGTGAGTTACTTGACTAAAATTGTAAGCGCTGGATCATCAGTCAACAAAGAAAGCTATAACAAGCTGAAATAACACTTTCCGAGGCCTTTAGAATTTACAATTTGCCCGTGCTGTTTTTTTTGGAATAGCATGTTTCACCCGTGTTGTCAAGGGAATGCACATGGGGATTTATTCTCCGAAAATCAATTAGACCTCTGTAATCTTCAAGAAGTTTGATAAGTTTCATGAAGTGACTGATCCAGAGGGATTTAATCGCAATACCTAAAGTAGAGGAATAGTTCTTGTCCTGTTTTTTTTAGCTATCTCAAGTGCCACGAGGAACATTTTACTATCCATGGGCTGAGTTTTCAGCCATTTAAGTCTTGCGCATTTTACACCTTGTCATATTTGTATTCAACAGAGGGAGTGACCACGCCTCAAGTTGTTGGACATCACAGTTGTAGAGTTAAAATATTTTAAAGCAAATGTACATGGGCAAATATGCAAGCCCGGCACTTGCCTTGAACTCGTCGGTTCAGAATGGGACGTTCCAGTCGCACTGTGTCCTGACACAGTTCAACCTGGTGTGCCGGCAGCCTACCGTCCCCCCTGAATACGCAGAGGTCATCCTCATTGCCATGATCATTTCCATCATCTTGAACATGTTCGGCAATACCCTCATCATCGCGGCCATCCTCTACTTCAAGCAGCTGCAGGTGCTACCAAACGCCTTCACCTTCTCACTGTCAGTGGCCGACATCCTTGTGGGCGTGGTGGTGATGCCCTTCTACATGAACCAGTGCGTCTACAACTGCTGGTTCTACGGCCATGCGTTCTGCAAGGTGCACCACTTTCTACACGCCTTCCTGCCCACTGCCTCCACCATGCACCTCTGCTGCATCGGCTACGACCGCTACCTGGCCATCTGTGACCCCTTCCACTACCAAGAGCGCTTCACGAGAAGAACTGCAGCCATAGCGCTCGCAGCCACGTGGCTTGGCTCACTGCTCTACGTGGTGCCCATCATGCTGGACTGGATCGTCATCGGCATCGAGGAGATGGTGGCCGAGCGCACCTGTCCCGACAACTGCATCTTCTTTATGAACAAGGTGTTCTCGAGCTGCGGAGCCTTCTTCAGCTTCATGTTGCCCATGGGCATCATGACAGTTACGTATGCAAAGATCTACCGTATCGCCCGCAAGCAGGCCCGCTCCATTGGTGCCCAACAGCATGGGATGCTGGGCCAGACCGCGCTGGGCTTCAACAAGCAGCAGTGGGCAGCCATGAAGCGAGAGCACAATGCCACCAAGACCGTGTCCATCATCTTGGGCATTTTCATGATATGCTGGGCGCCGTTCTTTAGCACCATCGTCATCGACCCTTACTTGAACTACACGACCAAGCCCGTGGTGTGGGAGATGCTCAACTGGATCGGGCACGTCAACTCGGCCATCAACCCGTTCCTCTACGGCGGCTTCAACCGCACATTCCGTAATGCCATCCGCATAATTTTCAGTCGCAGGCTCCTGCAGCCTGGGATCCGCAGTGCTGAGCTGTGATGGTTTACTGCCTTCCTTTTCAAGAAGCTTCTTCTATTCTGTGCCTCTTCTTTCTTTAAGGAGCATCCAACTGCCCTCAAATGCAATTCCACCGCATCATTCAATTTCATCCTTGGTCTCCCTCTACAACTTCGACCCTGTATTGGTTGCATTTCCATAGTGCTTGCAATTGCATATTTTTTTGTTTTTATGAGTTTCGTTGGCATTGTCTTTAAGCCCATTTGACCATCCCTGATGGTAAGCGCTATTCATATACAGTAGATTCTCGATTATCCGCGTGTGGTTTGTCCGATTTGTGGATTAACCACGCACCTGAGATTTTTACGTGAATTAATGACTCATGGATTTCCCCTTAGGCCCAATAATGTAAAAACAGTTTTATATTGTTATTCTTGGAAATTTGTATTCCAAGTCACTAGCTTAAACCGAAGAAATGTGCTCCAGTTAATCCGAAATCCACATTATTGTTCTACAGTACAGTAGTTGCATACCATTACAACAGTGGACAGAGTTTGATTGATGTTGATTGGCGTGGCTCTGTTATCCACTTAGTGGGCGGAGTCTTCTGCACGGGAGCAGGCAAGTGTTATCATTGAGCATGCGCATTGAGCGTTCGATTGTTATTGTTTGTTTTTAATTCATCCTATATTTGTGGGTTTTGACAGAGATCCGCAGAAAATAGATATTTTTGGATTACCCACGATTTTGAAAGATCTACGGCTATCCTCCTCGTCAGATAATCAAGAGCCTTCTGTATATTGGGTCCACCGGTAATATCAATTTGGTGTGATAAGAGTAACGTTGATGAAGAACTTCATTAGTTTTTACAAAGACTTGGAATAAACTATTTGCTGTAAACGAATGAAAATTACTCTCTTTGAATATTTGTATGGGTTGAGTCATTTTCCAACCTGACATTTTTCTCCTAAACAGTCCAGGGGCATTAACCAGTTAGACGTGGTTGGCTCAAACGAATAATGGAGGTTTTTTGAGAATATGTGGCGGAAAACCCAGTGCAGAAAGATTTCAACTTCCACCTCCGGGAAAATGTATCCTATACTCCAGGGGTGGTCATGGACATTGAGTCCGAGTGGACGATGTTCAGGACATTGATTGTCAATGCAGCTGCAAAAAGCTGTGGCCTGAAGGCAGTTGGTGCCTGTCATGGCGGCAACCCTAAGACCTGCTGGTGGACATCAGGGGTGAGGGAAGCTGTCAAGTTGAAGAAGGAGGCTTTCCAAGCTATGCTCGGAAAAAGGTCTCTCGAATCGATTGAGAGGTACCAATGAAAACCTGCGCATGAGAGGAGTTTGGAGAGGCCATGGAAAGGGACTACCAGGCAGCCTCAAAGATGCTCTGGCACACCTTAGGAGGGGTCGACAGGACGTGGCCCAAGCTGTTCTCAGTAAGGTTGGCATAACATTGAACTCAAATAAGGAGATAGTGGAAAGGTGGAAGGAACACTTTGAGGAGCTCATTAACCCGGTGGACATGCCGTCTTCTCAGGAGGCAGCCCTAGAAACAGCTGCTGAAGTCGCTGCGGCAGACGAGGGCCTTCGTAGCAGCAAAGCTACTGGGGTGGACGAGATTCGCCCAGAGTTGTTCAAAGCGCTGGACAGTGTAGGAGTGTCGTGGTTAACACACCTCTTCAATGTTGCATAAAAGGCGGGTACAGTACCTCTGGATTGGCAAACTGGGTTCATGGTTCTCACTTTTAAGAAAGGGAACCAGAGGGTGTGCTTCAACTACAGAGGGATTATACTCCTCAGCATCCAAGGTAAAGCCTATGTCAGAGTGCTGGAGAGGAGGCTCTGCCCGGTGGTCGAGCCTCATATTCAGGAGGAACAATGCAGATTCCATCATGGTCGTGGAACAATGGACCAGCTCTTTTCCCTCTCACAAATATTTGAGGGGTCATGGGAGTATGCTTCTCCAGTCTACCGCTGCTTTGTAGACTTGAAGAAGGCTTATTACAATGTTCCCCGCAATGTCTTGTGGGAGGAGCTGCAGTAGTATGATGCACCACTGCTGCTTTTGTTTGCTATCCGGTCCGTCTATTCCCAGAGTGAGAGCTGTGTCCATATTCTTGGTGTTAAATCAAAGTCGTTCACCGTGGATGTTGGACTCCGCCAAGGGTGCATTTTGTCTCCACTCCTGTTTGTGAATTTTATGGACAGGATATCAAGGCGCATCCAAGCTATGGAGAGTATCCAGTACGGGGGCAAGGAGGTGACGTTGTCCTCTTTGCCGTGTCACACTGTGATCTCCAGAGTGCACTTGAATGGTTTGATGCTGAGTGTGAAGCGGCTGGGATGAGCATCAGCACCTCCAAATCTGAGGTCATGGTTCACTCCCGGGAGATGGTTGATCGTGCTCTCCAGGTGACAGGGGGACAGCTGCTTTTAGTGGAGAGTTTAAGTACCTTCGGGTTTCTTTCGCGAGTCATGGTAAGTGGAAGCGGGAGATCGGCCAGAGAATCGGTGTGGCATCCACAGTGTTGCTGGCACTGCACCCTTCAGTGGTAGAAAAGCAGGAGCTGAGTTCTCGAACAAAGGTCTCGGTTTACAAGTCGATATACGTTCCCATCCTCACTTATGGTCATGAGCTTTGGGTAATGACCGAAAAGATAAGATCGTGGGTACAAGGGTTCGAAATGAGGTTTCTCTGCATGGTTGCTGGGCTCACTCTCTGTGATCGGATGAGGAGCTCGGTAATCCAGGAGAGCCTCAGTCGAGCCGCTCCTACGCCGAATCAAGAGCACCTGTTGAGTTGATTTGGGCATCTGGTAAGGATGCTCCCCTGGTAGACTACCCCCTGGAACTCTACCAGGCACGTCCCACTGGACGAAGATCCTGCAGCCGGCCGAGGACATGCTGGCGGGATTATGTCGCTCGACTGGCCTGGGAACGCCTGGGAATTCCCCAGGAAGAGCAAGAATTTGTCGCCAAGGAAAGTGAGGTCTGGACTCAACATGCTGCTGCTGTGACCCTTGCCAGGAGAAGCGGATTGAGAAAATAATGAACAGTCACTGTGGTCACTTTACCGGGGCTTCTTAAGTTTAAAGGCAGAAACATTTATATATTTTAATACGTCACTTTGTTGAAAGATGATGATAACTTATTTTAATAGTAATGCAATGGTTATTTACGAAGTATTGTAATTTAATGGTGTATCAAATAGGTATATCGAACATGTAATCATTCTCCATTCAATGTTTTCCCCGTTCTCGAGGCCCGGTCATGCATGCTCTCTTAACAAAATAAACCAGCACTTCAAACATATGGAAGATGTTAACTTTGTATGTGTTGCTCATCCGTGTACTTTGCTGCTGGAGCTATAAATGCAACAACAAACATCTTTCAAATCTGGCTGTCGCCTGATGAAGCAAGTTGTAATTACTGGCGAAACGTCGTACTCAGATTGTAAATGTTGTGGCTTGGTTCTCCAACACACCGGTGTTTTGTACGAATGACGAATTGGCATGTTCTGTTTACATGACAACCCTTACTAGTTTGCTGTGTCGGGTGGTGGCGGGTTTTAACGACACATTTATATATTTACGCGATCTAACCCAAAAAAACCTCTATTATGGATCTCTCAATAGCTCCGTGGTCGTATGATGAAGTAATTTATACAGGAATCACTCACTCGGTCTCAAGACTATTTCGAGGAGAAATCCACTAATAATATATTTAGCCAAAGCCCATGTCTGTGTCTTGACACTTTGTGAAATTGTAAAGGCATTATTATAATACCAGACCTGTAATCATCATGCTTTGGGAACGAGGCATTGGCCCAATTACATAGACTACCTTTAGTAAGTTGTCACTGAATGCAGTAATATTTACGGGAATTAATCACTTAATGTGTTTTAACTAAGCCACATTAAATTTGATTTAAAGCTTTCGTGACTGCAGGGATTCATCTTCTTGGTACCGAAAGAACCAAGAAGATAAGCCACATTATTTGTTCATTTTCAATTTTAAGGTCTAGGCATTATAAACTTGAGCCTAGTCAATGTATCAGTGCGTACTTTTTCTCAATGAGTGAAAGTGCTGTAACATTAGCGAGAGCTGACACACACAAAATGCAATTTTCAATTTAACACGTAGGTTACCCCAATGTAATAAAGGACTTCGCCGACACACTGCTGGGTCTCTGTATCTCTTTATTCTCGTTGACGCTCGCACTCCGCTGGTCCCGACAGCGGACGGGCTGCCTACTCGCGCTCGCCCCGCACGCGCCCTTCCGTCAGTCGCACCGCTCCCCGCTCCCGTACACCGTTGGCCGACGGTGTGCTCGAAGCTCCTCCAGCCACGTGGCTGATGGTGCAGGTACCCTCCGGCCACCCAACGTGGTCCAGCTTCGTGACTCCACCAACTGACCCGGAGCCCTTCCTGGATCCCACCTATATTCCCTTCACCACGTGATCCTGTCTCCTCCCTCTCACCACGCCCTTCACCGAACCTTCCAGATCCCGACCTCCGCATAGCGCCTTGCTGGCTCCGCCCTTAGGTTCCGCCCCTGCTCTCCTCGCATCCGATTGGACCCGAGGTGAGCGGCGGACCTTCACATACGCCCCCATACTGGGCCCCGCCCCCAATACCCTGGGCCGTATGATTGGCCCAGAGCCGAGCAGCGAAACCCCGCTTATGCTCGCATTACACATATTATATTAAAACGGTTATGTTGTCGATTTGAAACCTGTGCATGTATGTTGATTTATTTCACACCGTACGTAGCCAAACGTGCTAATCGGAGGTGCATGGTGTGGTGATGGTGGGGTGATAGTGGTGCGTGGTATGGTGATGGTTGTGGAGATTGTCGGGACATGGCAAGGGACCCCGTATAGAATTAGAATATTTATTCATACACGAGGAATCTGATGAGCGATAGAGCTCTTTCTCACAGATGTCCAGTAGGGGGCAGATAAGAACATTACAACACAATACAAAAACACGATCGGAGTGCAAAGTCTAGGAAATTGAAAGGGGCCATCC